TGGGGATTTATTTGCTACGAATATGAGACCAGATCCACCTGTCTCTTATACACATCTAGATGTGTATAAGAGACAGCACACACACACACACACACACACACACACCTTATTGGTTTCTAAAGCTTCCATATATGCATAAAAAGTTAAAAACATAAACGAGTCCCGAGCTTGTAAACTGCAGATCTTTGTTGAAGCAGACTCAGAAAAAGAGGCATTGGAGATGTAGGCCGTGAGGTAGGTGCGTATGAGGTAGAAACAGGGATCCCCGACTCAGAAACAGATCATTTACAGCGACAAAATGACCTCAGCGGAGAATGGATCCGATCCATACATGCTCGTGGCAAAAGGAGTGCTTTCTCATTCCCACCAACTACCGTCTTCACCCGAATAGAACGCCCCATCATTACCGCTGAATGTAGCCTGCAAGTTGCCCCAAATACAGCTATTACGACAGGGCGTTCTATTCGGGTGGAGAGGGTGGTGGAGACAGTAGCTGTGGGACAAATCTCGACTACCAAACCAAGGGGAGTCATCTGTCAAAGGTAGCTGAGCAGAACAACGTATAAATAAAGCTTTGACTTTTTTTTTTTTTTTGGCAGGGGGAGGAGGGGAAGAAAACACCGGCGTCATCTATTCTGGGGGCCAACAATCCGGTTGCTTATCACCAGCAAGAAACATGTTCAGGGGCGGGAAGAGAAGAAAAAGAGAAAAAAAAAAAAAAAAAAATTGAAAGACAACTGGTTCAGAAGAAGGTTTGGATTTCAAATGCCCATTGTTCATCACATCAGTCACAGCATTGTGTTCGAGAGAGTGGAGATTTGAAAATCCTTTGAAAAAATATAAAAATATATAAATATCGTCACATATATATATACACATAATATTATATATACACAAGTACTATAAATAGAAATACTTACTATCAAGATTGTCCGCGAGGCTGGAAGTGCCAGGGTAGATGTCCCCACAGGCCCAAGACATCCCCTGGATGCGAAGCCCCTGGAAGGAGGGGCATGCGGATTGCCGTAGCCAACCACTTGCCCCTTTTCTTGATCCTCCTCTCCTCGGGAAGCACCGCCTTTTCCCTCGCCCGCCGTTACGTCAGGAGCCGTCGTAAAGTAGCAATGTAGCGTTCTGCGGATTGGGCAATCACCACCAGAAAGCATTCGGAGAAGTTTCTCTTATACCACCCATTACTTCTCTCTGTCCTTTATCACACACAGCAACCAGTGTGCACTCGTCATTATTTTGCAGCAAAAAGAACAACAAAATGAATAAATATATACTAATGATAATAACCTTTATTGAGATAGAGAATAATAATAACGCACGAGGACGAGCATCTGCTTCGACTTGTTTGGAGAAATTTAACAGAGGCCAGGGAGAAAAAAAAAAAAAAAAAAAAAAAGTGAAAACAGAAGAGGCCCAAAGATCTCATACTCAAGTTTGACAAGCAACGAGAGCATACTCACACAAGACTTTCCTGCATGTATCTGACCGCTTTTACGGCCCGGCATGAATGCATCTGACCGCAATTCCGTCCACAGGGACGTTGACAAGGTTTTTAGCCTGAGCATGCCCTGATATGTCTTACCAAAGGAGCATTACTCACACTTCTGCGTCCCACAAAGGAGCTCGTTCGACACTCCTATTGAAATCCTCGGGCAAAAGGAAAAATTCCTTTTGGTTCAAAAGGAAATTTCGGCCCTTCGTTCCACCTGTCCTCGGGGACGTCGCCCGAGGACATTTCCTCCCAGCGATGTCAGAAAAGAAAAAAGAAAAGAAAAAGAAAAAAAATTCAAATGTGCTTGAGGCCTTCAGCCAATAGGGTGCCGCCACGATCCAGATTCTCGGTTGTACCATCTCTCTACCCATGTGCCCACTCCTCTCCGTGAAACGCGGATTCCTTTTGCCCAAGGGACCTCGTGAGGTCCCTTGGGCAAAAGGAAGAAATGGCTGGGGAATCCTCAGAACCCAAGGAATTTCCTTCGAAGTGTTTTCACTTCTTTTTTTTCCGACTGCATCCCCGAGGATAGTTGGAACAAACAATTCCTCGGGGACTTTCTCGCCCGAGGAGTGTCGACCGAGCCCAAAAGAAGGAACATATTAGGGGCATACATACATCCTTTTTTTTTCTTCCTTCATTTCTTTTTTTTTTTCTGCATTTTCTTTTTTTTTTTTTTTTTTTTGGGGGGGGGGGGGGAAAACTCACAATTTTTTTTTTTTCCCCACTGATACCAAATAAAAACCTCCAATTTTTTAAAAAAAAAAAAAAAAAAAAAAAAAAAAAAACTGCGAGTTCACATATAGCTTTCTTTTTTTTTTTTTGCCTGTTTTTAAGACACTTCCAAATTTTTTTACAAAGCCGGGAAGCGGGCCCAGTGTCCCTCACACAGTCTGAGGTGGCTAGTGGGGAGGGCAAGGCATCACAGGCCAAGGCCCAACCCGGGGCTAGGTTCCAGTTGCACAAATTAAGAGATATTGACCGTAGATAGCAAAGATCAACGGCCGAAATCTCCTAATTTGCACAAGTGGGACCTTGCCCCCGTTCACTCATAGCTTTCATCATGGCACAGAACCTTTTTTTTTTTTTTTTAACATCTGGTTGCATCTGGATTCGGACTCAGGTCTGTATATCGAGAGGTCACAGATGTACCAGTTGGTGGCACAAAACTTGTTCTTTTTTTTTTCTTTCTTTTTCCCTCTTCCTTTTCTCTTTCTTTTTCCTTGTTCTTTTTTTTT